CTAATTACACAGAGTTCTAGAGGTCTTCTCTTTGTGCAGATGGGTAGATGAGCTAAGATTGGGTAGCCATCTACCTGAAATGCTTTAATTTTTAATCCTGGCTCAAACAAGTGGTTGGACGTAACAAGTTCCTTCTACCAATGTCGGTCTATGATTTGATGATACTTTTTACATGGGGAAGGAAACATGGCTTGTTTTGTGACAGTTGCTTCGATCCTTCTGATGTTATGTACCAGGCAACTGAATGTGATATTCATAAAAATGAGTAAAAAAAAAAAATGCTAGATATACTGATATTTTTAAAATGACAGACCTTGCCTAAAAAAGGATAATCTAATTAAAGTCAAGAGAACTTGTATAATAAAAACCTCTATAAGTTATGAAATCATTTCATTTCCTCGCATTTCTTTGTCAGGGTCCTTTTTTCTTGGTATTATTTGAATATCAAACAGTACTGAACCAAACAAAAATGCAGTTAGATGAAACCTGTAGTCTTTGTCAAAACGCTGATTGGCTGGGAATTCTAGGACTTGTAGTTTTAATATGATTGAAGGGTGCTGATTAAAATGTGGAACTGAATGAGGAGGAATCAAGAGTCAGAATTCTGCCATGGGCTCAGTGGTGAAATCCAATTTTTTTTACTACCGGTTCTGTGGGCGTGGTTTGGTGGGCGTGGCAGGGGACGGATACTGCAAAATCTCCATTCCCACCCCACTCTGGGACCAGCCAGAAGTGGTATTTGCTGGTTCTCCGAACTACTCAAAATTTCTGCTACTGGTTCTCTGAATTGCTCAAAATTTCCGCTACTGGTTCTCTAGAACCTGTCAGAACCTGCTGGATTTCACCTCTGCATGGGCTCCTTGAGTGATGCCATGGATGTCCCATCCCAGTGCATGAAGGCTTATGAACAGTGGTGGGATTCAGCCAGTTCGCAACTATTCGGGAGAACCAGTTGTTAACTTTCTAAACAGTTTCTAAGGAGAATCGGTTGTTGGAAGAAATCTTACTTTGTTTTTTTCCACTTTACAGGGCTGATCCTGTAAGAAAGGCGGGAAGGAAACATTCTGGTGTTGTTTCTAGCCTAATCTTTATTTCCCTGCTTACAGAAACTGCCTCTCTGGTTAACCCTTATTACATTGTAACAGCTAAGGCAAAGCGCCCATCGATGTGAGTGACATTGAGTTGGCCACGCCCACATGGTCACATGACCACCGAGCCACACCTTCCCAGCTGGTTATTAGGGCAGAGAACCGGTTATTAAATTATTTGAGTCCCACCACTGCTTAGGAGCCTAGATGGGGGCACAATGGACTTTGACTCAACCTAAGCAAGAATGAGTAGCTTGGGTATTTGGACCCTCAAGTGACAAGGCTGTTCCACCTTTGGTTCTTGGTGGGATAGCACTGTCCCAGATGGGCCTGGTTCATAATATGGAGGTCGTCTTACATTCATGGATCCTGCTAGAAGAGCAGATGGCATCTGTGGCTAGGACAGCATTTGCACATCTTTGGGTTGTATGTCAGTTGTGTCCATTCCTGGACCAGAAGGCCCTGCTCACAGTAATTCACTTCCTCATGACCTCTTGTCTGGATTACTGTAATGTGCTGTTACATGGGCTGTTCTTGAAAAGCATTTGGGAGCTTCAACTGGTGCAAAATGAGGTCACTCTGCATGAGCAACATTGGTTGCCTGTGTGTTTCTGAGTGCAATTTAAGGTGCTGCTTGTCACCTTTACAGCTTTCATGGCTTGGGACTGGGTTACCTGAGGAGCCATTCTGTACTATATTGTAACTGTTTTGTAATTGTTTTATGATTGTTCATTACCCAGCATCACTTGTTTAAGATGGGCAGCTATAGAAATTTAATAAATAAATAAAAGGATAGAGGATACTGAGCTAAAATCAAGGAAATTACATTTGTGATGGTGCGTGAACCGGTCACAATCCTATCAGGGAAAGGGAGGGACTCCTAAAATTTGCCCAAGTGTATTCCATGGCTGTCATAATGTGGATGAATTCTTTCCTTCCTACAATTACAAATGCTGCAATTTATTCAATTATTACTTGATGATTACTAATCAGAGAATTATTAATCTGTCGCCTCATGACACAAAAATGGCAGGAAAACCTGCTGTCTGTCAGCTTTCCGCAATCATGATCAGACTGGCCTTGACAGACAGTTCCTAAAAAGGAACTGAAGGGACATAAAGACTCCAGGCCCTCCGTTGCTCACTGCTGTGTTAAAGGGTGAGGTGATACCTCAGTGTTTTGTTTCAACTCCTAGCTGTCTGAATGAAAGATATCGCAGATGGTCGTACATTTCTTCTTAAATGAAAAGATGTTGCTCATTATTCTTTTTTAACTTTTACCTCAGGTGTGTGGTGCAATCCTATTTGTGTCCTCACCATCAGGAACTCCAGAAGGCAGCATGAATTTATGGAGGCAACTGTGCTGACACCATCCTGATATGTAGAATCGAAACCAAGCAACAGTCTGTGCCCAAGCTTTTGGAATGGAAATGCCAACAGATGATACCATTGATTCGGTGCCAGCCGGCATTCATGTAACATAGAAATGGTGATGGGGTGCTGAAAGCAGTCATCAGTCATACAGCAGGAGACTAGGCAGGAAGAGTCTTGATGAAACAGAAACCACACAGAAAAAGCAACATCCTCCTGATCACACACCAAGAGCTTTCAGCTACTAGGATCCACTGTATCAATTAATCATGTACAGATAGTTCTTGACTTACAACAGTTTGTTTAGTGATTGTTGAAAGTTACAATGGCACTGAAACCATTGCAGCATCTCCATGGCCATGTGATCAAAATTCAGACACTTGGCAACTGATTCATATTTATGACGGTTGCAGTGTCCCCGGGTCATGTGATTCCGTTTTGCAACCTTCTGACGAGCAAAGTCAACGGAGAAGCCAGATTCACTTAACAAGCGTGTTACTGACTTACAGCTGGCAGGGATTCACTTAACAACTGTTAACAACAAGTCGTAAAATAGGGCAACATTCACTTAACAACTGTTTCACTCAGCAACAGCAATGTTAAATTCAATTTGTGGTTGTAAGTCAAGGATTGCCTGTATAAAATTCCAACATCGCTATAAGGAGCAGCGTCTACAAACTGTTTGTTTTGGGACCAAGAATATATTTGGAATGTACAGGAGAAAAGAAGGTGATTGGATATTGTAAGAGTGCCTAGTGGCTTGACTTAGTGAAAAACACAGAGACAATGTGTCACCTTTTCTCTTTTAGGGCCTGTGTCTCATCTATGGTTCTTAGAAGTATTAGAGGGAAAATGTTGATTGAACTGACCTTTTACACCAGGGGGCTGGATCCAGCCTGTGGGGTGCTTAGATCTGACCTGCTGGATCCCCCTGGAAATAGCAAAGGACCAGCCTGCAGTGCCTCTGCCAGCGAAAACGGAGCTCAGGAGGGCCATGTGCTGAATCAGTACCAATGGCTGGCTGGCCATGCCCCCAAACCAGTCACTTGGTCTCCACTCCCTTGCCCCGCCTGCCTGCCCAATGCTCGCACACTCGATGCTCATTTGAGCTCCATTTTCACTGGCACAGGATTGAAGGAAGCCGTCGCAGCCGAAAACAGAGCTCAGGAACCCGTTTTCACTGGCAGAGTGCTCGGGCCACCACAGGGCCCCGACACAAGTGACGTCAAGCTGGCCATGCCCTTCCTGCCCCTCGCGAAGTCAAACACAACCCTGATGTGGCCCTCAACGAAATTGAGTTTGACACCCCTGTATTACGCTAAGCCACAATGTGATTGTTTTGGTTTTGGCTTGGTGGACTCATTCACTGGGAAACCACTGGAAAATAACACCGGGATCCAGCAGGAACAACCTTCTTTGCGGTACAATCAAAAGCCACATAAGAAGCTGCTTAAGATTTTGGGGAAAAGTTGCATCTTTGCTCTCAGAAGAAACTTCTATGGGAACTTAGTGCTTTTTGTGAATGAATGGTACCTTTCCATTCACACAATTTGGATCTGACTCATTGCTTGAAAAGTCGCACACTCCTTTCAGAATTGCCATTTCTGAAACCTATCTATTTCAAACAGACAAGCACATACCCCCATATACCTCATCTGGTGTGTAAAAAGCTATATTTATTTGTGAAGAATAGGTGAATGAAGCACATTATGAGTTTAGAGTCTTAGCAGTTAATCCTAGTCTTAAATGGCAAATCCCTTAGTGAGAGCAGGAATTCAAATTGCATTATGAAAGAGCAGCCTCTAATGTACATAAGGGTTCTTAGCCAACTCATTTGAAGCATACCAAAGAAAACAAATATTAGCGTATATTTCAATACAGCTCCCTCCCTCCCCAGAGAAGTGCTCTTAATGTCCTGCAAAGATCACTAATATGATGGAAAGACCAACATATACACTGCAAACATTCCCTAGCTTTTTTTCCCCCTGCATCGTACAAAAAATTAAGATGGGTAAAGCGTTCGTAATGCTGTGAATGGTATATTCATTCAAAATCGCTTTACGAAGGAACTCAGTTCTCTTGTTGCAATAGAACAGAGGTCTTCAAACTTGGCAGCTTTAATTCTGGAGTTGAAGTCCATAAGTCTTAAAGCTGCCAAGTTTGGGGACCCTTGCAATAGACAGAAGCAAAGTTACTTCTTTGTTTGGCTTTATTTGCTTTTGGGACCTTTTACCCTTCCAGTAGCCAGGAGAGGTGCAGGAACTCATGCAGGAACCCAAAGTGTATTGTACCATGCAGAATTGTGTCATTTCAAATAGCCTCACCTCTGCTGTTCAAAGTATTTTGTTGAAGCAAAGCAAGAATTTCCGTACATAGACTTAGTAGAAAGATGCCAATGTTGATATCCCCATAAGTATTCTTTTGCTATATCTTTGCTACTACTTCTAGAATATGCTACTCGTCAGTGGTTGACTTCTACTGTTTTAGGAGGCATTTTCTTTCTTTCTTTCATTTTAATTTCATACCAATGCAGCAATACACATTTTTATGTTGTTAATCTTTTATTCTTTTCATAATGGAATGAGCATAAAAAGGTTACAGCCAAAGAATGGAATATTAATCCACTGGGATAGATCCCCCCCCATTGTTTTCTAATGAAAGATGAAAACGTTAAAGAGAATTTGCATTTATGTACCCTGAGAATATTTTTCTTGTTTTGTTTTACTTTTTAATATACCTTTGGACTATATTAGTTGTTCATATGCTCAGCAACTTAGATAAGCAGATTTGCATGGGGGAAAATAAAGAACCATTAGCTTTGCATTCATTGTTGTTATTAAAGCTATTACCACCTTAGGCATCTCTCATACTGTGTGTGTATGTGTTTGTGTGTGTGTGTGTGTTTGTGTGTATGCATGGACGTGTGTGTGTCTTCAAAACCAAAACTCATCACCAGCGCTACTCCTAGTACTTGTTCTTTCTCGGCTTTTGAACTTCAACACATCCATTACACTTCGAGCATATACATCTCGCAAATTAATGTTGATATTAGAGTCACTCGACATATTCTTTGTGAGCTTCTTTAGGGCTTCCCGCTGGCGAAGGGCAGCTTCTTTTATCTTCAGGGTAAAATAGCAGGCAGAAAAGCGATCATTGATGATGGCAATTGGTAAAGCTAGGACTAATATTCCAGATAATATGCACATAAAGGCCACAACCTTGCCAACAGTTGTATCTGGCCTAATGTCTCCATAGCCAACGGTTGTCATGGAGGTGGTAGCCCACCACCAAGCACAAGGCACACTTGTGAAGGTTGTGTCATGGATACCTTGCTCAACAAAGTATTCTATGGTGGAGAAGATGGAGATGCCCACAGAGAGGAAAAGGAGAAGCATGCCAACCTCTTCATAGCACTGAGCAATGGTCATCCCAAGGGAACGCAAACCTAAAACATAAAACAATATTTGAATTAGCAAGATATCCTCTTACTGCTTTTCTTCTTGAGCAATGAAGCAGAGTGGGAAGAAGTGGCGCTCATTCAATCAAATTATTTTTTCCATTAAGCAGTAAATGGAAGATTCCCTCTCTGATTTGCATTCTTCCAGATATATTGGGTTTTTACATTATCCGTCTCCAACTTGGCTAGGAATTCTGTGAATTGTAGACTTGACACATCTACGGATGTCAGCTGGGAGAAGTAACATATAAAGTACCCATTTTATCACCCTATTAAAAGAAGGTTGTCTTGCTGTGCAATAATCCAGAAAATTTTCGAATGTGCAGAAATGGACAAACTTACTTTAGAATTAAATAAAAGGAAGACTCGGAATACTACTTAACTTGGGAAAATTGGTATCAATGGATAGAAATTAAAAAATAAGGAATGTATAGAATAAAATAAGATATAAAATGGGTTTAAATATGTTGATTAAGTAAGAATATGTGGGAAAAGTTGAAGAAAGTTGAGAATTACGTACTGTCAGAAAGACATTGAATTGTATAATTATTACGGATGTATTTTTGTTATAGATGTATTTTAACTTGTATTTTTGGATTTTAAATGTTAATAAAGGTTTACAAAAAAAAAGAAGAATGTTGTGTTGAAGTCAATGTCAGCCCTAAACTTCTCCAACTTGGATGCCCTCTAGTAGTGTGAACTTCAACTCCCAGAATTCTTAGCAATGGTGATGCTGGCTGAGAAATTCTGGAGTGGAAGTCGACACATCAGATTTCCTAAGGAAGCACTTGATGTATCTGAAACCCTTCTCAATATGTGACTTCATAACTATGCTAGCTCTAGAGCTGAGGTTCCATAAAAAGGGTTCATTGAAATTATTATCTTACAGTTGTTGCTGGCTTAAGTGAATCATAAAAATTCATGAGCCTGATGTAAAAAAAAAAGTGCTTTGTCCTTGGCTCTTAGATGAAAGATTTAACATCTTCTCAGGAAAAACACATGAAAACTAAAAGTTTTGCAACTTTTAAAATCATACACATCCATTTCTAATCTTAAATATACATCACATTTTTAAAAAACTACACAACTGTAATAAGAAAAAAATGGCAAAAGTCAATGTTTAATGACAAAGAAATCTACCATTCTTTTATTCAAACAATAAAAATGCACATCACCCTCAAATTCCTAACACAAAACAATTCTATTGCTGGTGTTCACATTATTGTTTTGCTCATTGTTTAATAAGAGAGTAAGCCCACAACAACCACGATGTCTCACATTATCAAATGACCTGCATAAGGCCAAGGCACTGTTTCCTTGACATTACTAAACTCAGTTCCCACCATTCTGCTTTAATAGTTGAAGCAGAAAAACAGATTCGGCTTTTATTATGTATAGGCGTCAAAGAGTGCTCAAAGGGAAACAATTTCTTCCTATACAAATACTTTTGCATAATCTGCATTTTCGTATGCCCTTTAATAACAGCATCATACTGCTGACTCATATTTATAGTAGCTTTATTGGTTTAATCGTCCCATTTTTCCTTTTGCCATTTAAATCTTCCCAACAAGAGTCTGACCATATGCTGGAAAGGAGAAGAAAAAATAAGAATCTCCCATCGATTCCTCGCTGTGTTCTCATGAGAATAAATTTTCATCCACACATGGTTATTTGATAACCAAATAAGAATAATCCTCCTTGGGGAGAGGAGGAACTTCCTCTCCTCTTCTGTTGAGAACCATGGCAAACAAACATTCTCTTTTACAGCAGAATTGTATTATGCAGTGGGACCGGTAGGTAGGGGATGCAGGCTTCCGACTACTGAAATTCTCTCTGGATCAAGGAACGATCTTTGAGATAGCTCATGTGACCCATACAACCATTCTTTGTGAGTATACTGCAGGAATCATTGTTTTGCAATTGACTTATGAGTTCAGTAGTTGGGAGTTGAGGGAGGAACCATCTTTACTCACAGTCATGAAGGTAGCCTTTTTAAAGGACATAAATCAGTGGTGGGCTGCTACCAGTTCTCCCCAATTCGGGAGAGCTGGTAGCGGAGATGGTGAGGTGAGAGCGAGCCAGTTCTCTCTGACGGTTAGCTTGGCCCTCCTGCCCAACCCTGCGTTATACATACCTTCTATTCGGTTGTTTTTAGCCAGCTGAAAGGCACGGCAGAGCGGATTGCCGTGTCTCAGCTGTTCTTTAATATAATGTGCTTGCACGAAGTGCACACAAAGTGTGCCCGAAGCGCATGCATGAAGCGAACTGGTGGTAACACTGGTTGAAACCCACCACTGACATAAATGTTGATTGAGTCTGATTTTTTAATCACTTTGAATTTGGGGGGAGGACGGTTGGAAATATTAAGATCCTTTGGAACAACAAATACTGCTGCAATTACTGGGTGAGTCGCCTTTTCCTGAGAAAGAATCTTTAATACAATTTCAAAGATTGGGGATAAATAGAATTTTTTTTGGCTCAAACAACTAAAGGGTGCTTAGAATATTGATTTTCATAATAATGGATTAAGGGTCTAGTTGAAGTCTGAACTATAATCTTAAATTAATTGAATCCTTCTCATGGGAAATTACAATTGTTTGGGTTTTCTGAAGTGAAAACAAGATATAATGGAACTTCAAAGAGTGGACACAAGAGGGAGCGAGAGGTTAATAAAGGGTACAATTTTTAAAAAATTGAGCAAAATATCCTATCAGTGAGACTTGGGATGGATATTTATGAATAATGGTCTTTGAAATTTTCTGCTAGTATAGATAAGTGAAATGGTAAGGAAGCAAATGGTAAGATGTTTTATTGCCTAAAGAAGATATGCAATCACAAAACCAGAAAAGAAATATGGGTATTTTTTTTTTTTTACTGGATATATAAAAGAGGCCAGTTAAAGTCTTGAAGGATTTTTTGAGAAGTGATAAAAAAAAAGAAAAAAGAAAAAAAGAAGAAGAACTTTTTAAGGAACAAGGCTTTTGGATTTCATTTTCTAATTAACAGAAGAAAAATGGTCTGAAGAGAATATATGTTGTAAGTTAAAGGATGATGATAAATTAAATTGTCTGTTTTTGTTGTGAGAGTCAACTATGCTAGCAATCGGATAAGGTACCAACTGATTGGCTCATATTTCCCTAGTGCACACCTTCTGTTCCCATCTCCTGACTAATAGTATCTACTTTTTGGGTGTACTTTAATTGTATTTGCCAATGAAATTGTATTTGCCAATGATGTCATGATTTTCTGACTGTAACCCTTTAAAACCCATTTCTTTAGCACAAATCCCTGCACTTGTTTTTGACATTTTAATTCCAAATTCTATTTTTTTTTCTAATTTGCTTACTTAATTTGGTAAATTGCTGCAGGCAGGTCGACTAATAATATTCCTGCTAAGGTTTTTTTTTTTTTGACAAAAGGTTTACCTCAGACTCATTAGTATTCATTATATTAGAATCAGAAAAACAAGCAAAATGACACTATTGTGAAAAGTATTTGGGAAGGGATCAGCGAGCAAAGGCAAGAACAGATTTTGCATATAGAAAAGCCGGTTAGAAGGAACAGGTGGACAATTAGAGAGAAAGATTTCTGTTTTTCATTCTGAAGGGCCTATGTCATTATATTATGTTTGTTAATTCCCTTTCACTATTGGTAATCCAAGACCTTGGATAGAAGAGATGCAGCTTCTGGTGCTACAGGTACTTACCTTCCTTAAGGTAAAGGTAAAGGTTCCCCTCACACATATGTGCTAGTAGTTCCCGATTCTACAGGGCAGTACTCATCTCCATTTCAAAGCCGAAGAGCCAGCACTGTCCGAAGACGTCTCCGTGGTCATGTGGCCAGCATGACTAAATGGTGGCCAAAGGTGCATGGAACGCTGTTACCTTCCCACCAAAAGTGGTCCCTATTTTTCTACTTGCATTGTTTATGTGCTTTCGAACTGCTAGGTTGGCAGAAGCTGGAGTTCACCCCATTACGCAGCACTAGGAATTCAAACCGCCAAACTGCCGACCTTTCGATCAACAAGCTCAGCGTCGTAGCCACTGAGCCACCGTGTCCCCTTTACCTTCCTTAAGCTATTACATTCTGAGGAAAGGAAAAAATGGAGCCGATTGGAATAATGGCAAACCATTGAGTCTTTGACAAATGTTGCCCAAATTAAATGACTACAAGCTCAGCTTGTTGCCAGAAAATCTTCCAAATGCGTACACTGTTCAAACCCTTTTGAGCTGTAGAATGCTTGTGACTCTTAATCTTTACTGACAACATTCCAGCTATTTAAGAGTTATTCCTTGTACCAATAAAGGAGAATATTCGTAGCTCAGGGCAGAAATGAGGGTCCTTGTTTTCCTGCAGATGTTTCATTTCCCAAACTATGTAACATCATCAGTGCTAGTGCTAATGTTGATGATATTACCTAGTCTGGGTAATGAAACATTTGCAAGAAGATAACCAAGCTCAGAGAATAGCAAGGACCCTTCACTTATAACTTGCCTTGGGAATAAATTCAGAGAAAGGAATAGGTGTGCATGCCAGCTGAGATTTGCACCCACCATAATCTGAAGGCTTGATTTTGTTGCTTGGGATGGAAACCTATTTCCACTAAAAATAGGTGAGTTAAACCTTTGAAGGAACCTCCAACTCAACTTGGCCTGACCCCCCTCCCCCCACCCCACCCCAAAAAAACCCACCATGAAACTAGTTTATAAAGTCCAGCCTCAGAACACTGTTGGTAAAGTCATTAGAAATTGGGGGGGGGGGATTAAAATAATGCCTGCATAGGCTATCCCAATGAAAAGGCAAAACTAAGATTCTCACTCATCCAAGACACAGTTTCCCAAAGGTGTTTAAGAACTGAAGAAGCTTCTTGGATGAGAAGCAAAATGTTTTAAAGGAAAAAACAAAGTCCAATTGCCTTTTGGAAAAGCACATTTGGGGTTGGTGAATTGGAATAGTATGTTTTGACCTAAGCTTCGAAGACCATGAAGCAGACTCCTTGTCCTGACAAAAACCCCTTTTTATTAAGTTACTGTGAATTCTTCTCATTCACATCCAGCAAAGTCTTTCAAGGGAGAATTTACAGTCACAGATCTTATCTGCCTTGGGGAGCTGCCAGGCTGATATCTTCAAAACTTGGCAAGGAGTCTCGGAGAGTCACAAACCAATTAAGCAAACTAATTGTCTCCTGCAAACTCCACTCCCCTTTCGCTCCTTTTTTATTCCCTCTGGGAGGGGCCATTCATCGTCCACCTGTGGCCTTACTCCCAAGTCAACCCTTGTTCTTTAGCTGTTCCCTTCGTCTGGCAACTCTGCACATGCACACACTGGGAACAGGCTCCAGCTGTTCGTCTGCCTCACTGATGTCTGACTCCGAAGGCAGCTGATAACTGGCACACGGCCCTGGCCCCCTCTCGGCCTCCAATGCACAGCCCTCATCAGAGCCTTCCCCAGACTCCAGGACTGGCCCTTGTTCCTCCCTAACCTCCTCACTGTCTGAATCTGCTACCAGCTCCGCTGGTGGACCACAACATAGTACAAGTACAAGCAGCTTTTGAGAATCTTATCTTATTTTGTAATTCAGGTTTTTTTAATTCATCCCCCCCTTCTCTGAAGTCCCCCAAGAAGAGGCTCCCAACACCTCATGGATTTACCTGTTGAATGCCTGCCCAACTTCAACATGCGTAGACCCCTCAGCAACCTCAGCACTTGCACAATACGTCCCATGTTTTCCAACTCCTGGGAGCTGCGTTCGCCTCGCAAGCTCTCCACCAACAATGTGATGTAGAAGGGCAAAATAGCCAGAAGGTCTATGATATTTGCTATATTCTTTAAAAAGCGGCATCGATTCCGCGCACAGAGAAAGCGTAACAAAAGTTCTCCTGTGAACCAAGCAATACACACATACTCCAAAGTATCAAGTAGCTGGGCTGGCATCCAGGTCAATTCCACTGAAATCAGAGCCATGTTGGCAATCGAAATGATGACAAAAATCATGGAGATTGTGCCAAAAGTCCTGGCAGCAACAGAAGAAGTTGGTTTTTCTAAGACTTCCCATAGCTTTTGTCTGGTGGTAGAACACAGACTTCCAGAGAAATCTTCTTCTTCAACTTGGGTCTCCACTTCTTCAGCATCTTTTTTGATATCCAAAGTTTCACTCAGCTCTTTCCTTCTGAAGTACCTGTGTAGGGAAGTCAGCTATTAATATTACACCACTGGAAGTCCATACATAAAATCAGTAGAAAGCATTTTGAGATATCTATTTCTGAACTTCCTTGGTAGGCAATGTTACTAGAGTCTGTTAATGGTGGGAGACAATTGGGCCAAGATTACCTTTGGAACAGTGGTGGGTTTCAAATTTTTAAACTACCGGTTCTGTGGGAGTGGCTTAGTGGGCGTGGCATGGCTTGGTGGGTGTGGCTTGGTGGGCGTGGCAGGGGAAGGATACTATAACATTTCCATTTCCTCCCCACTCCAGGAGAAGGATACTGTGAAATCTCCATTTCTTCCCGATCAGCTGGGACTCGGGAGGCAGAGAATGGGGGCCGGGCCAGTCAGAGCTGTTATTTACCGGTTCTCCAAACTACTCCAAATTTCCACTACCGGTTTTCCAGAACTGGTCAGAACCTGCTGAATACCACGTCTACTTTGGAAATGAAAGCCGCTGGGCGAGATCATCCGTGGTTTCGGGGTGAAGTACCATCTGTATGCTGATGACACTCAGCTGTACATCTCCACCCCGGATCACCCCAACGATGCCCTTGAAGTGATGTCCCAGTGCCTGGAGGCCGTACGGATCTGGATGGGGAGAAACGGGCTCAGGCTCAACCCATCCAAGACCGAGTGGCTGTGGTTTCCGACGTCCCGATATAGTCAGCTGGCGCCATCGCTGGCTATTGGGGGCGAATCATTGGCCCCCACGGAAAGGGCTCGTAACTTGGGCGTCCTCCTGGATTCACGGCTGTCTTTAGAAGAGCACTTGACGGCCGTGACCGGGAGGATTTTTCATCAGGTTCGCCTGATTCGCCAGTTACGTCCCTTTCTAGATCGGGACTCGTTACGCACAGTCACTCATGCCCTCGTCACCTCTCGTCTGGACTATTGTAATGCTCTCTACATGGGGCTCCCCTTGAGGTGCACCCGGAGGCTCCAACTGGCGCAGAGTGCGGCCGCGCGGGTGGTTATGGGAGCAACATGGAGCTCCCATGTAACACCTCTCCTGCACGAGCTGCACTGGCTCCCGGTGGTCTTCCGGGTGCGCTTCAAGGTTCTGGTTACCACCTTTAAAGCACTCCATGGCTTAGGACCTGGTTATTTACGGGACCGCCTACTACCACCAACAGCCTCCCACCGACCAGTACGCTCCCACAGAGAAGGGCTCCTCCAGGTGCCGTCGGCCAAACAATGTCGGCTGTCGGCCCCTAGGTGGAGAGCCTTCTCTGTGGGGGCACCGACGATCTGGAATGAGCTCCCCCCAGAGATACGGAGGATCCCGGATCTGCGCACCTTCCGCTGCGAGTTGAAGACGCTTTTATTTCATCAAGCGGGCCTCGCCTAAATTTTCTCCCTTTTAAATGAAAATTTTAAATTTTTAATTGTATTTTAAAATTATGGGTATTTTAAATTATGGGTATTAATTCAGCCAAATTTATTTAATTCATTTTATTCGATTTTAAATTTTGTATATTTATGTGTTTTATTTCATGGCTGTACACCGCCCTGAGTCCTTCGGGAGTAGGGCGGTATAGAAATTCAATAAATAAATAAATAAATAAATAAATGAATCCTGGATTAATTTTTTCAAAGGATCCCTTCTCTCATTATAAGCTGAGCCAGACAACAAAAAGAGGCACAAAATGTTTAAAGATCTTGAAGAAAGAACCAGTAACTTCTAATATGAGTTTTGGAGAAAGAATAGGAAGAAAATTCCCAAGCAACAGCGTACTTAATTTGAATAACAAGTGGGATGTTAAGATGATATATTTCGAAGCTGAATTGCAAACAGAATTGTTATCCAAGGTATCCTCATGCAGATAGGCCACATTTGAGAGTCATCATAAATGTAATTAAGTCTTGATAAAGGAAGAATTCAATTTAGTTCTTTAAGTAATTCACCATAAACTCACTTATCAAAATAAATACAGACACCATACACTTAATCACAGGGGTTGCTCCACAATACCACTGAAAATGATGTGAGGAAGTTGCAACACACAATTGAGAAAGAAAATGTGGGAATCCCCCCCCCCCCATATTATATATGCAATTTCAAATCTAATTTTACTTCTGCAAGCTGCTCTAATACAGGATAATTCTGATAAGGATTAATGTGGAATAATTTCAGGGAGAAATAAAAATTGAGTTGCCATAAACTAACACCCGTACCATTGTGTGACTTGAGTTGGAATAAAGGTTGATCATTTATCAAGGTAATATCCCTGCCAAACATCCAAATTTGCTTTAGAATACCTACGTGCGACTCGTCAGTGGGAACTTTTGCATTTCAGAGGACATTTTCAGAATTTTAATAACATTTTTGTGACTTTACTTGGGTTTCTTTGGGTTTATGTTGCCTTTTTTTTTTTTTTTTGCAAATATCAACATTGACTTGGTTTTAAGTTGGTATTTTCCAATAGCTATTTACTGTATTTATGGATCTGATTTTATTTTTCCCATATATTATTATAGTGAGCCATGTGAAGTTTCTGCTTAAAGAAATAGTGGTCATTTCAAATGAACAATTGAAACAGGTAGAGAATAAAATTCACATGTGGAGTAAGAATTAACTTTGATATTTTTGATAGATGGTAACATAAGGATGGATCTAGTCTACCAAATCCAAGTTCAACATCAGCACAATTTAACTTAGTGAACATCATTTTTTCCATCAAGACCCCTTTCTAGGAGAAAACTGATGGAACCAGATTTCATGCCAGTAGTAAACTGAGGTAAAGGGATAGATTGCTGTTATCAAATATTTGAAATAAGTAAATAAATAAAAATAAAATAAATAAATGCTTGCTTACAAAGGATTTCTGAAATCTGGATGACGATTACCCATCCTTGATTAATCTCATACCAACAGGTTTTTTAAATCTTTATTTGTATAGTCCAGTAGTGTCAAACTCGATTTCATTGAGGGCCACATTAGGGTTGTGTTTGACCTCAGGGGGCCAGGGTGGGCATGGTCAGCTCAATGTCACTTGTGTTGGGGGCGCCTGTGGTGGCCTGAGGGCTCTGCCAGTGAAAACAGGCTCTTGAGATCTGTTTTCAGCTGCGATGGCCTCCTCTGCCAGCAAATGTGGAGTTTTCCATTTTCACTGGCAGAGGCACTGCGGGCCAGTCCTTTGCTATTTCCAGGGTGGCCCACAGGCCAGATCTAAGCACCGCATGGGCCGGATCCATCCCCCGGGGCTTAAGTTTGACACCCCTGGTATAGTCAGACAGAGAACATGATGACAGAACATAAAGACAGAGAACATGATGGTCAAGAGAGGAATCTCTGAGAAAATCACTGTTTACAAATCACAGTGAGTCATTTCTGGGCTACTTCTAATCTTTCTAGTTTGAGAAAACTTACTTTTCAAAACTCACTTGTAAAAAACCTGAGTCATTATCTTAATTTCATGCCAGCAGCCCAAGTCAAAAAGGCTTGTCAGAATGAGCTGTATAATATTGTGCGTAGGAATCAGCCTTGAATCCGGTGATTGCTTGGACCAGTCATGCAGTTTTCCTTGCAACATTTTCAGTAGTGGTTTGCCATTGCTTTCTTCCTAAGCCTAACAGAGATCGACTGGCCCATCACAGAAGACTATATAACTCATGATTTCCTGGTTTGTACACCAGTGCGTATAGCTAGTAGCCCATATTGTCTCTCAATAATCCTTAAAATACTATATATTCAAGCACTAAAATGCAGTGTTAGTGAATAACTTTGTAACACAAGCTAAGCACTTTCAATTATAGCTGTTGACCTATGAGCCAGATTGATGTATCAGATTCTCTACCCTTATTTTACTATACTGCATATGACAAAATATATACAGTAAGCACTTTTCTTAATAGACCAGCTTTCTCTGTTCCCAACATGCCCTGTGGAATTGTGTAGGCCACCACTTTCCCTCTTGAAAGTTAATAATGGTAGAAAAGAGTAAAATTAGTTATGCAAAACATCTAATTTTATTTAACATTTTATTTAACAGGTTCATCTACCACAACACTTTAAAAAAAAATCTAAATTTATTACAGAAAAAAATACACTGCTCAAAAAAAATAAAGGGAACATAAACAGAACACATCCGAGATCTGAATGAATGAAATAGCTTTATTAAATACTTTGTTCGTTACATACAGTAGTTTTGTGTTCCCTTTAGATGTTTGAGCAGTGTATAAACTACTGTATGTAAAGAACAAAGTATTTAATAAGGCTATTTCATTCATTCAGATCTTGGATGTCTTCTGCTTGTGTTCCCTTTATTTTTTTGAGCAGTTGATATGTATCTCTCATACAGGGCTCAGTTAACATTCTTCTGCCTCTGTTCATTAGCAAACCTGAAGGCTTTAACTTTTCCAGTCTGCTACCCGTATTTTACATTTATTGCTTCTCTTTCTGATTACCACTAACTCATTACAGATGTAATATGCCTGTTGCTATATTATCTAGGGTGGTTGGCTGAACCAACTGCTGGTGTACGTTTCTCTAACTTGTGTTAACTTTGCCTTCATATCTTCCTACAACCAAATTAAATAAACCACTTGGATGAATTTCTGACCCCCCCCCCGCACAATTGCTCACCTGTCCCTGCAGCAGGAATCAATCATGAGCTCATCCAGCCCCCAATACTGGATCTCCTGCAGGAAGGAAAGTGCACACAGCTGATCCATTACATGTAGCCTGCCAGTTTGGTAATAGTTATGGACATAACTGAATGCTTGAGAGTTCCGATCAAAAAAATATTCATTCTCCACCAAATTGGCATCATCACAGAGTTCCAAAAGGCTGGAGGCAACATCCCGGGCAGCTGAAACCATTACTGCTAGCTTGCCCAGCCGAGTGTCCGGATAACAACAAAGCTTCTTCTGGGACAGCACAAAGCGGGCACCTCCAACGTTGACGGTCATGCAGTCCAAGGATGGAGGTATGTGCTGTAGCAAGCATCCTGGCCCTTCTTCACTGCAGAAGACACTGGATTCCAAAGAATCGAAGGATGTGGTCTCACCTAATTCCTCTCCGGAGGCCCCAGAAGAAAGGGACAAGCAGCAAGGAGATGACTTCATCCTTCAGCTCCAGCAGCAGTTTTTGGTCTCCTATAGAAAAATGTTAAAATAATGATGAAAGCTGATTCTGAAGTTAAAGGAAAAAAATTAAATAGAATAGAATAGAATAGAATAGAATAGAATAGAATAGAATAGAATAGAATAGAATAGAATTCTTTATTGGCCAAGTGTGATTGGACACACAAGTAATTTGTCTTGGTGCGTATGCTCTCAGTGTACATAAAAAGACAAGATATATTCATCAAGAATTATAAGGTACAACGCTTAATGATAGTCATAGCGAACAAATAAGCAATCAAATCATATTAGGAAACAGTCAATATAAATCGTAAGGATACCAGCAACAAGGTTACAGTCATACAGTCATAAGTGGGAGGAGATGGGTGTTATGAACAATGAGAAGATTAATAGTAATGCAGACTTAGTAACTAGTTTGCAGTGTTGAGGGAATTATTTGTTTAGCAGAGTGATGGCGTTTGGGAAAAAACTGTTCTTGTGTCTAGTTGTTCTGGTGTGCAGTGCTCTATAGCGTCGTTTTGAGTGTAGGAGTTGAAACAGTTTATATCCAGGATGCAAGAGGTCTTTAAATATTTTCACAGCCCTCTTTTTGACTCGTGCAGCATACAGGCCCTCAATGGAAGGCAGGTTGGTAGTAATTGTTTTTTCTGCAGTTCTAATTATCCTCTGAAGTCTATTTTTTTTTCTCAGAATATCCTAAGGATCAGGGCTATAACCATTATTTTCATTCATTGCTAAACTACGTAATTATGGAATCTGGCACTAACGCCAACCTATGAGAACTTCAAGGTTTGTTTGTTTTTTAGAATGGTTCTGAAAATTAATCATACAAATAAATAAAAGATCTTTGCCTATTTAGTGTTGAAGACCAACACATCTGGAAGGTATCAAATAAACTAAACGATGGTTCTTTACAACCTCCATGTCTTTGTTTCCTTCACAGAAGCATCTTATGATAATCTTAAATCTGAGCATATATATGTAATATGGAAAAGCATCGTGATTTTCAAACAAAAGCATTCAGATTTTTGAGCCTGAATTTTGTGGATGCAAGAATGTTGGTGAGCTTGGCAGAGGATATAGATGTTTGAAACCAGTCATGGAGCTGAAAGCAACCAGATGTAAAAGTATTTATGTAAACCTTTTCAACAGGACTGGAGGGAAAAATCTGCGGTTTAAACCACAGATTTATCTATTTTTTTGTGCCTCTTTTTTATTTTCAATGATGCAGAAAAGGTCATCTGTGGTTTTAAACCCCAGATTTTTCACATTTTCAGCATTTTCCCTCATCATTTCCCAATTTCCAGTGCTGTTGAAAAAGGTCATCTATAAAAGCATTCTGCACTGGATGACACCATCTGGAGGGTACCAGGCAAGGCTGTTCTAAATCATATAGGAAGCCTACATAGTTAGATCTCATGTAGACATTCAACTCAAGGGAGTCTTGGCTTCAACTTCACCTCCAACTCTGGAATTCCAAAGGTGCTTTTTCCAAAAAGCAACTGGACTTTCTTTTTTAAAAAAAAAGCATTTTGCTTCTCATCCAAAAAGCTTCTTCAGTTTTTTTTTTTCAGCTTCTTGGATGAGAACAAAATGTTTTCAAAGAAAAAAAAGCAAGAAAGTCCACTTGCCTTTTGGGGGGAAAAACATTTTTGGGACAACCATGACCTGAATGATTGAAAATTTCTATAGACATCCAACTTTGGAAGTTCTGTAGGTGACTCTGGACCAGTGATGAATTCTCAACCAACCCACCCCAAACAACAGTTGTGATGAAAAATAGGAAGTACACCATAAATCATTTTGAGATCGTGATAGGAACTTAGGATAATGTCAAGTTCCTAATGGCAGCATATAGCAATAGCACTTAGACTAATATACTGCTTCATAGTGCTTTTACAGCCCTCTCTAAGCAGTTTAGACAGTCAGCCTATTGCCCCCAACAAACTGGGTCCTCATTTTACCCACCTCAGAAGGATGGAAGGCTGAGTCAACCTTGAACCAGCGAGATTTGAACTGCCGAACTGCAGCTAGCAGTCAGCTGAAATAGCCTGCAGTACTGCACTCTAATCACTGCCCCACCTCGGCTCTTGACCAAGGAGGGTAGATTGACAGAAAGTGTCACTATTAATGTCCAGAAAAAAGGGTGATATTACAGACTCTGGGAATCTAGACAAGTGTAATTCAATGTTAATTTCTTAGTGAATACATTAAGGCAGAATCTGTGTGAGTTCCTTCATCCTTTTCCTCGTAGACTTCCTAATGATCCCAGATTTCCGTACTTTCCGTCGTGCACTTAAGACCTTTCTGTTTCACCAAGCTGGGCTAGCATAAATTTCTTCTAATTGTTCTAAATTTTATGCTGAAGATTCTTAACTGATGAGTTTTTTATCCAAATTGGTTTAATTATTTTAAATTGCTTCATTTCACATTTTATATGTATGTTATTTTGACTGTTCACCGCCCTGAGTCCTTCGGGAGAAGGGCGGTATAAAAATTAAATAAATTAATTAAATAAATAAATAATGAATGAATGAATGGAGTGATGTCTCATTTAAAGATACTGTATGGTTGAAATGCTCATCTGGTTCTCATCTGTCATGGTTTGAATACCTCCTTTTTCTTTCCTGGCTCCGAGAATGTCCTACTGTAAATCTAACACATAAAATATGAATGGAATGCATAAAATAGAGAAAGCAAGGCCAATCAATCACTATTCACTTCATCATCAATTGTAATCACGTAGCTTTGATATGTTTTCAGTGGATCTTTTGTTGACAGCTGCTGAGATCCCCAAATGCTTCTTTTTAAGTAACATCACTTTTTATACCTCTGGAAGTACTTCCTTTCATCTAAATTGTTCTCTTTTATAGTTGCAATCAGGATTTTACTCAGATTTCCCCAGCAAATGATCAGCCATTCAATTATCACCTGTCTTCCATATTTCATATTGTACAATGTTTGTGCAAACCTTTACAAAAAAACATTTGTGCATACCTTCAACTGGTTATTCCTTGTCTAACCAAAATGGACAATTATTACCTTGATGATTATTATGAATAATAGATACTTTCTAAAATTATAAAAACCGATCACATCCTTGATTGGGGCAGGGAGTGGAGGGGTCTGGAATCTAAATGTCATAGTTGTGTTCAATCCAAATGGTATGTGATTATTTTTGAGTTCTTAAGAACTCTTTAACAGGCATAAAGGAGGGGAGGGGAGGGGATGGAGGGGAGAATTCCAAAAACCGGGCTAGTTATTTTAAGCTAGGAGATCCGCAAATTGAAATTACTCATGTTATCCTTGATATACAGTACTACTGAAGAAAAGTCACATGGTATGACATTCAATAATTACTCAAATCTCAAAATACCTACTATTTCCTTTAAAATTGCTGAAACATATTTAAACCGGGACATTGACCATTGACTTAATTTGAAGCATATTACATTTCTTCTGTAATAAGGACAATTCTCTTTCCATGGAACTGCAGCCCTATGCTCACTTCTTAGAGAGTAAGTCCTATGGAACATAAAGGGGTTCTCTTATCAGTAATGTGAGCAAGATCTTTATGGCTCTAGGAAGAGATTGCATTTACATTAAGGGTGCCGATAAAATTGGCTCATTTATTTTTAATTAGTAGTTCAATTCTCCATCTCCTTTTGTGCATGTTGTAATCGCAAGCCATTCTTTTACCGAGCTTTATAATATGCCTTGCCTGTATTAGGCAATTTTTTTTTCCCAATTAGAAACAACTATTAGATGTTTAATGAAAATAATGTCAATAATGTCTCTTTGTATTCATGCAGCTTTTAATCATACTCATTAACTATAATCGGTAAAAGAAAATAACAGAAGTTGTGTATTTTTTTTTTATTTTTGGTAAAAATGAAGACTAATAACTGGTCTGCACAGCGTACTACAGTTTTATCTCAAGCTACAGCAAAATCATCTAATACCTCTGGCTGCATAAGCCCTTATTGATCCAGAGACTGTAAAGTCCAATGCACATTTCCTTGGGAAGCCAATCTCTTGACCTTAACGCTTTGCAAGTGTGCAAAGGGGATTTCAGTCTGAGAAACAGATGCATCAATATACATATATACATATATATATGGGAATTGATGCATCTGTTATATATATATATATCTGTTTTATATATTAAATAATAATATATATTATTTAATATATAAAAATATATATTATTTTTTATTAAATTGGTATACCGCCCTTCTCCTGCTGGACTCAGGGCGGTGCACAGCCAAAAATAAAAAACATTCCAATACAAAATTTAAAATTTTTTAAAAGAATTACAGAACTTTGGGCCAAAATTTAAAACATCCCAACTAAAACCCATAGACAATTAAAAAATCTAACATATCAAAATTTATATTTGCTGATAAAAAAAATAAAGGGAGACTAGTATAGATCTATTTCAAGCTCTTTAGTTCTCATCAGCTAGCCATAGCCATAGCCATAGCCATAGCCATACCCATACCCATACCTATATGTGTGTGTGTGTGTGTGTGTCAGAACTTGCTTTAAAGTGATGTTTAAGGACTCTAAAAAAAAAAAAAAGTCAAGCTAGAGACCAGAGAATGCTACAGTTATATGTGATTGCAACTGATGGTGCATTTTCCCTCCAGAAGTGAACATCACTGAGCTCTCTATGACTTACTACTGAACAAGCTTGCAACTATCAGTCTAATATAAATGCAGGCAAACTGTAACATGAAAAAATAAATACCCGAAGCATTGTAGAAAATGAGAAGGAAGAAAAAAAAAAAAAGAGGGAGGGAGGAAACTAGGAAAGAAAGAAGGAAGGAAGGAAGGAAGGAAGGAAGGAAGGAAGGAAGGAAGGAAGGAAGGAGAAAGAGACAAAAGAAGAGAAACATGACTCATTTTTACTCCAACTACTAAAGGGCGCACTTTCCCATCCAAAGCTGAGAAGCGCAACGGGACTCCCAACTCACCTGCTTCCCTTCTCACGGCCCAGGACATCTGGGCTGCTGCAATCAAGCGGCTGACCCTTTGCCCGGCTCGCTTTCCCCCCTCCCGCCTCCCCCCAGAAAAATCTTGCCTTTTCTGCTGGCTTTGCAGAGCGCTTCTCCGGGCGCCCGCTTCCCACCGCCGATCCCCTCCAGCTCTCAACTTGGAGAGCGGCGTTCCAATGGAACTGCTGGGCTGATCACGTGAGCACGCGCGGTTTCCCCAACTCGGAGGGATTGGGGCGGGGGGGGGAGGGGGCTTTTTAATACGCCCGGCTTCTTTGCGAGACCCTAGCTAGATCGACCGTCGCTCCCCTCGAAGGGCGGTGAATGAAATGCGAGCGAGTCTCTTGGGGGCACAAAAGCGTTGCAAGAGATCTAGAAGCAGAATTTGGGAAACATGATGATGATGATGATGATGATGATCAAATGGTTTGCAATCGCGAGTGGGTTCCCACGACGTCTAAGCGCTGGGCTAAGGGAATACAATGGCGGGGTCCTCGTGCATGGCAGATAAGGTATCTTGGTAAGCAGGTATTAGGGTTCAGGCAAACACGCAGAACTAGAAACGATCCAACCCCGTTTTGAATGTGTGTGGTTGAATGAATCCAACCATGAGGATGGAGAGCGGTTGTGCGATCTGGGACTTTTCTGAGACACGGAGAAGAAGAGACAGGGGGCAGAAGAACCAATTCCAAAGGTGCTTCTTCTTCTTTTTTTTCCAGGAGGCAACTGGACTTTCTTGTTTGTTTGTTTTCTTTGAAGAGGTTCTGCTTCTCATCCAAGAAGCTTCTTCAGTCTGACGGAGAGTGGAAGGATTGATATTCCTTGCAGACAGCTGGACATTTGAGCTGAGACCCCTGAGATACGCAGGATATCAGACCTCCGGACTTTTCGTCGGGCCCTGAAAACACACCTATTCCATCTAGCCAGGCTGGCTTGATCCCATCCTCTCAGTTTTAATTGAATTCGGTTTTAATTGGGTTGTTTTTAATATCTTGGGCCGAAATTATTTAATTGTTTTTTAAATTGTTTTTAAATTTTATATGCAATGTTTTATCTTGGCTGTACACCGCCCTGAGTCCCGCAGGAGAAGGGCGGTATAGAAATAAAATAAAATAATAAATAAATAAATAAATAAATAAATTTGTATCCTTTTAGAGCAGTGATTCTCAACCTTGGAAGCTTGAAGATGGGTGGACTTCAACTCCCAGGCTGGGGGATTCTGGGAGTTGAAGTCCACCCATCTTCAAGCTACCAAGGTTGAGAAACACTGTTTTAGAGGGTCGTTGAAGCATTTGGAAGCTAATCTGTGTCCTCAGGATCATCTGAACAGTGCTCCTGGTTCCTGTAGTCTGCAATTTTTCTCTGGAAAAATCATTCCTACTCCCACCCCATTCAAAGGGCAGTCGTCCCAACTTGGATAGCTAAAATTGTACCGCTTCTTGGATGAGAAGTGAAAAATCTTCAAAAGAAAAAAAAACAACAAGAAGAAGGTCCAGTTGCCTCCTGGAAAAAAAAAAAGCACCTTTGGGAGAACCATGACCTGGATGACTGAGGATCTCTACAGACTTTCAGAAGAACCAATGTTAAATGAGAGTTATGGTCTTGGAAGTCCTGAGGCCTTGCGAGGAGCACCTGGTTCTAGGAGGTTCCAGGAACCCATATAAACCAGGTGGAGAAGAGACCTACCGAAGTACACTAGCTGCCAATATGGTCACCTGCTTGCAATTGTCTGTCCTTCCAATAATGCAAGTCTAATAATTCAAGTAAGGGAGCTGTATATTTGGTCATTTAAACCCAACAGTTATTTATCCAATAATAATGTTATCTCATATTACTTCAAACATACTCCAAAAGGTTTTTTCAACAAGCTTCTGCCATCAAGTCAGTGGACACTGCTCTGTTGGGGAGTTAGTAGTAGTTAACAAGTTTTTAGTGTCAAGCACAGCTATGTTTCTATATTCTTTTTCTACCAGTTCTCATTTAATTTCATGAAAAGAAAATGGGTTTAGATTTGTTTTTTTCCAAAGGAGAATATAATTACAGTGAAATTCTCATGGATGAAGAGTGGTTTCTCTAGTGCCTATTTTGTTATATGTTGTTGGTCTCTCTCTGTCTCTCTCTCTGTGAATGTGCTGACTTTTATTGTTCAATTACCAATCCAGTGGTCTGCAGCCTCTCACCTTCTCAAGCTTTTGTTTATTCCACAGGAAAAACATCCATGTGAGTTTTTTCAGATATGATGCTCCTGTCATTGTTAAGCGACAATTTTGCATTAGGAAAAAAAAAATGCTCAAAAAAATATTCCTGATCCATTGAAGAGTTACAAGTGCAGTGATGGACCCAGTGTGATCCAGGATTCCATTTATTCAGGTTCTGGATTGTGTAGAGAGCTATTGTTGTTAGATTTCAATTGATGCAACTTTGGACTTTTGATCTGAATGCCTCATGAAGATATCTGTGCACCCAGCCCATTCTTCATCAAGTCTCTACAGATTCAAGTGAACCAAAATGAGCCTATTGTAGATTGCAAGGGATATGTAGTGCCCTTGAAAAGGCAAGATCCAATATGGATTTGTTTTTTTTATAAAAAAATTATTGAATATTTTACATTTTTAAAACTAAAAACATAATAGAAAAAGACAAAAAGAAAAAGAAAAAGAAAGAAAAAGAAAGAAAAGAACATACACATACACTAAATGGTAAAATACAAAGCATAAATAACAACATTCTATAATATTTTACAACTTTCTGCATCGACAATTATCTTTACTTTTGAATTCAATCTTCCAAATCATTCTTTTATTCTTGTGTAACCATATTGAGCATTCTTATAAACTAAATTGTTATATATACTTACATCCTATTTATTAACATAGTCGGTATTTTATCCTTACCAGTATTCAATACTCATAGATTCCAATTAATCAAATTTCAATTTACATTCTTATTTTTTGTTTTGATTTCTATTTTCTAGCCATGTATAGAATCTATTCCACACTTTATAGTAGTCCAAATCATCTCTTTCTTTAATCCCCATTGTCATTTTATCCATTTCAGCATATTTGAGGATCTTTTTAATTGCTATTTCTTCAGGTGGTGTATTGATCTGTTTCCATATTTGCGCCAGAGCAATTCTGGCCACCATTAGTATATGCAATGTTATGTAGTACAAACCTTTCTCCATTTTCTTATCAATCATTCCTAGAAGAAACAACTCTGGTTTGAAATCAGTCTTTTGGAGTGTAATCTCTTCTAACCACCTTCTGGTTTTATACCAAATTTTTTTAACACTGGGGCACATCCACCACATGTGGTAGTATGTTCCTAATTTATGGCCACATCTCCAACATTTAGGTGATAGATTGGAGTATATTTTTGCCAATCTCGCTGGTGCTAAATGCCATCTTTAAAACATTTTATAGCTGTTTCCTTTATATGTTACTGCCATAGTCAATTTATAATTTTTTCCCACATTTTTTCCCATTTTTCCAATTCTATAGTGTGTCCAAAATTCCTAGCTCAACTTATCATCGTTTCTTTGACTGTTTCTTCTTCCAATTTATATCTTAATAGGTACCAATATGGATTTGTAACTAGTTGACCAACCGCAGTCAATGTGTGGTCCTTAATGGAACTGCATCTGCAGTGCGGTACCTAAAGGGTCTGTATTAGGCCCAGTAATCTTCAATGTCTTCATCAGTGACTTAGACAAGGGGATAGAAGGGGAACACATCAAATTTGCAGATAACACCAACCTGGCAGGAATAGCCAACCCTCTAGAAGATACAGAAGGATCTTGACAGACTTGAACATGGGGCTCTATCTATCAAAATAAAATTCAATGGTGAGAAAAGTAAGGTTCTACACTTAGGCAAGAAATACCAAATACACAGGTATAGAATAGGTGGTACCTGACTCAACTGTGAAAGGAATGTTTGACTCCTAGTGGACAATCACTTAAGAATGAGCCAGGAGTGTTACTGCAGCTGCCAAAAAAGCCAATTCAGTCCTAGGCTGCATTAACAAAGGAATAATATCAGGATCAAGGGAAGTATTTCTACCACTTTATAATGCCTCGGTAAAATGGCACTTGGATTATTGCATCCAGTTTTAGTTGCCACAACATAAAAAAGATGTTGAGACTCCAGAAAGAGTGCAGATAAGAGCAACAAAAATGATTAGAGGACTAGAGACTAAAACCAGGGGTGAAATGCTTCCGGTTCGGACCGGATGGACCGATCTGGTAGCGATGGCGGTGGGTGGTTCAGAGAACTGGTAGCAAAAATCCCTGCCCCCCCCACCATGCCCAGCTGAGCCGCAGGATCATCAGAGGCTTTTTTTTTTACTTTTAAAAGCATTTTTTCTACAACCTCTTCCGACGAAAATATGCTTTTAAAAGTAAAAAAAAAAAGGCTCTGATGATCATGTAGATCAGCTGGGATAGTCAAAGGCTTTTCAAAGCATTTTTTTCTGCAACCTCTTGGCCGAAGAGGTGGTAAAAAAAATGCTTTGAAAAGACTCTGACGATCCCAGCCGAGTTTCCTGAGCGGCAGAGGCTTTTCAAAGCATTAGAAAAAAATGCTTTGAAAAGTTTAAAAAAATAAAAAGTTGGCCATGCCCACCCAGTCACATTACCCTCCCCCACACCAAGCCATGCCCACAGAACCGGTAGTAACAAATTTTACATTTCACCTCTAGCTAAAACATATGAAGAACGATTGCAGAATTATGTTTGCCTAGTTTAATGAAAAGAAGGACTAGGGGTGACATGATAGCAGTGTTCCAATATCTAAGGGGCTGTCACAAAGAAGACAGGGGGAGGGGGGTGTCAACCTAGTCTCCAAAGCATCTGAAGGCAGGATAAGATGCAATGGGTGGAAAATAATCAAGGAGAGAACCAACATAAAACTAAGGAGAAATTTCCTGACAGTGAAAACAATTAACCAGTGGAACAGCTTGCCTCCAGAAGTTGTGAGTGTTCCATCATTGGAGGTTTTTAAGAAGAGAATGGACATCCGTTTGTCTGAAATGGCATAGGGCCGTGATGGCGA